CTAGCACCTCTTAGGGAGGTTTTCATTTCAACAGGGACACATCTTTAATTATCGTGATAAAATCTCTTTCGTGTCTTTCAGGCTTTCCTCAAAGGATAAGGTGCATATGTAAATTTTTTGTTATTTCATTATGGCTTTTTGTAATGATCCTTTGAAACACATTTATGTACTAATGTCTATGTTATTGTGCATAAAGTCCGTTCTTAAAAAATATTGAAGGATACTCCCTTAAATAACAGTTTTGAAAGATTGCTTCTACCTGTTTCTGACCATTCCTTCCTCCACACTGCTGCTTATGATTGCATTGTTTTGCTTTTTTTAGTCATATTTAGCCATACCTTAGGCTGGAGCAGCATTTGATTCAAAGATTGCAGTTCCCATCTCTGTCTCTGTGGCAGTATTCACACCTAATTGAAGTGCATGAATATTTCAGTTTATTTTGCTTCTGAATTCACTTGTAAACTTATTGAATGAAGGTATTTAATCAACTTCATAAGATTATCACCATAAAAATAGAAAAGGAATTCAACTAGTACCATTGAAATTTTTATGTAGCTTTTGAAATTAAGAAATAAAAAAAAATTATCCTTGCACATTTTTTGACAGTTAAACCCAAATATGTTTTTGTGAATGAGTCCTAGAACTAAACAGACCAGAGTCAAAACAGTTAGATCACATTTTTCCGTTTTACATAAAATTACAATAAATATCACTCTAAGTGTATTTACTAAATCTTAGTTAAAAGAAAATGAACACATGATTATTTTTTCTCATAAACTCAAAATTTCCTCCTAAAACCTAATTATGTGTTTATAAGGGAAATGTGAGAATTAGAGCACACTGGATCTCCTTCTATTTTGTATCTCCATGAAATAACTGGAAAAGAAGGAAGGGGCTTAGGGGAGTCATTATCTGAAGAAAAAGACAATAACTAAATAGATCATGCAGTAGCTGATTTGGAAAACCTGGTCCCAATTTTAATAATCTTCATATATGGTGAGGGACATGAAGTAAATGTGCGCCTCCACTTAGTGACGCCGGCTCATAAAAATTCCAAATGCCAAGTTGACTTGATCAGCATCACAGTGTGCATCAAAAAAGTCAATATTTTTAGAATTATTATTCAACATACTTCCTGGAAGGCAGGAATATTTAGAACATAAGGCACTGAAAAACCAAAAATTTACTCAAAGTCTGTATAGGTTGAGAAATTGCCTTTTCTCCTGGTATGCAAAGTAAATACTGTACGCTATTTATCAAGGGAGGAGACGCTTTTCCTGGACAGATGCTCCCATGCTCCTGGCCTCCCTCCATCTTCTCAGACGTTCTCTCCAGGAGAAAAAGAGACATGATTAATGAGTTGCAGTTTCGGAGCCTCCCATAACTTGGCTCAGCTCCTTCTGCAATTTGCTGTTTTGGGGTCTGCTTGCCTGCCGAGACCAGTCCCTTACTCTGCCCCGCATGTTGTAAGTTTTACCATTGCCCGTTGTCCAGCAAGGGTGGTGTCTGTCGCTCAAAGACTGAATGTGCCTCATTCTGGAGTTCGGTATTAGGGATCATACTTGGCCTGCCACTAAACCGTGCTCACCAATAGAATCTCACCAATCGTAAAGGGAAAATTCAGTAGCAAATTATTTCTGAAATTATCTCTCAAATGGTTTTGACACTATAGGGAAAAGAATTGTGACATATTAGTCTGATAGAAGTGCAACACTACTGAAGCAATCATATGATCCAAGACGTTGTAAACATTCTCTTATTTTGTCAAGAGATGAGTTATCTGAGCTTTTTCCTCAACACTCAATACTCTGTTTATTGTCAAAGTCACGAAGCTAAAACTATTGTTATCTCGGCAATATCAGCGATATGAAAAAGAAATAATAAATGAAAAGGAAAAGCCACAATACAAAGTAAGACTATTTTAATTTTAAAATATCTAGCTACTCAGCCATCTTAGAAGTGCACCTCAAGGAATATGTATGTGCATGAATATTTATCTGTATAAAAATGTGTACTTCTATAATATATCAGCGAAAAAATGGAACTAATGTCAAAGATGCACTTACCTGAATCCTCTGTGAAGCCTACCTCAACTTTCCTATTATAATAGCTTTTATGTCTCCTAATCGCAGATATTTCCTTTTCTCATGGATGTGAATTTTTCTTCCATACATTAACTATACCATGCTTTGGGGAGTATTTCTGATAACTTGTGATGAATTTTTTTCATATCTAGGAAGCAATGCTTGCTAGAATAGTCTTCACTGTTATCTGAGTAACAATATATTCATGCATAAGTTTATCAGAGCTTCTTTACTATGCAAGCTATTCTTACATAGTTTTCTATTTCCATATTTCATATGTATTTTGTATTTCAAATAGATGTCTTATATCTCCCATCTGGAACTGGAAGTCCAGTAAGATCTTCTATAGCATACAAAGAATACATGTTGCATCCCAGGTTGGTGACTGAAGAAAAAAACAAGACGCAATCAATATGCAGATGGAGAAAAAAATTAAGTGTGGCAACATGAAGCCAGGCTGGCAAGCTATGTATTGACTGGACATTTCCCATGCAGAACCATTTATAATAAAACTCTTATTAACATTGCATTGAATAAAATATAAAGACAAGATGTTCAAAGGACAGATTTCAGGCCAAGCGTAGGCACTATGGATACAGACATGACTTGGCATTAACAGAAGGAGGGTATAAGTATTTAAAATACATAGAGTATATCCTCAAAAAAAAAAAAAATACAAAAGTCAACAAAAAGTGTAGGACTAGGAGTATGGGATAAGAGGTGAAAAATTTGACAATACCAAAGCCTAGATGGTGTGAAAAACTAAAACACTTTGTAAGACAGAGAAATGCTTTTAGTACTTGGAAAATATGTAATAAATTTGAAAATGTAAGTGAAAAGCTTGAAATTTATTATTAGGATAAAGGTAAGATTGATCAAGTTATTTCACACATGCCAAATAACTGTGCTTTGTCTATGGCTCCTGCTTGTGGAAATCTATTACTTACTCTGAAACAACAAAGCCAAAAGAGAGCAGTTCATTGTTATACTAGTGAAGAAGAAAGGAGTAGAAAAAAATATTTTTAAAAGTGTGGATTGAAATTTATGAAATAACTTGTCCTGAATATTCTTTGCAGTGGACTAGAATGTGCATTAAGTATGTCAAAAACACCTAGAACCATGTACTTTTTCCTAAATGTGAGAATGTGAGAGGGTCCCTGCAGGGTGACCCATGGTGTTGCACAAGGCCACAAGTGCTACAAATATGTTTTAGAATGAAGATCAAGTTAAGCGAATTTGCAAGATTTTATTCCAGCCTCAGTAACTAAGCAAGAATATGGTCACGGATTCTATTTTGGCCACATTTTTCTTCCTTAACACTTAGAATAATGTTTTCTTCATACTGTAAATTCAGTAACTCTAATAAAAATATCAAACTAATTTTCTTTCCATCTTTCCATTTTCTTTTCCATTATAAGCTAGAAATACCTTTCTTAAGAAGGTGGTGGTTACAGTAAAAATGCCCTCTGTAAGAAGAACGGGGATATCCACCTTGTTTTGACGTCAGTGATTTTCTGCACCGTTTCCACCTGCAATGCTTTCCACCTGATACACAGGAAAAGATTGGAAGTGTGGAGTGGGGAGGAGGTGGATGCATGGAAATTATTCTCTGGCCATATTTATTATGCCAACAATGCAATTTAACTCATCTTTGATGTTGTGCAATTAGGTATTAAAATTTCTCGTAAGTAGGAATATTCTTGGTCAGTGGGAATCACTGTAGATAACTTCAGGGAACCTGGGAGCAATTTAGCTGGCTGAAAGGCCTGGGCTAATATTTAAAGCATTCCGTTTAGGAAGAAATTAATTTGTTCTTCACATTAATCCTCTGCTTAACCATATTGGGAAATGCAATGCAAATTCACATGAAACCTGAGGAGACAATCAGTAATTGTTTTATATTTTAAAATAACTTGATAAAGACACAATATGGCAACTGGAAAATAGTCTTCCAAACCATAATTTACTAATTCTTTTCCAAAGGGTAAATTATCTTTGCACTAAGATAAGAGTTTTATTTGCATGACTGGTTTAATTTAGAATCCCGATACTTATTTTCTTTAGTTGCCCTGATTTTTTTCTCTGATTTTCTTTCTCTCACACGTTTCCAAAGGGAGATCGAGGTGGGTAGGGGCAGCTGTGTCAGTACAGTTGTATAGATTTAGCAAATATACATGCCAGTACCACATCCCAAATTCTGGTCACATTCCATGTTCTGGGCATCATTTTGGCGTTCTTTAGGCTATCAGGAAAACCGTAACGATTAGAGCAGAAAGTCCAATAAGCCATGTTAGAGGCAGACGGGGTGGGTGGAGAGATGGATTTCACGTAACTATATCAAGTTTTATTCTTGTTTCCATGTATGCTGTAATATTTAGCTATGATTCAATACAAACTGAACTCACTGTCCATTGGCAAGCCACAGCAGTTCATAAAGTGACAGGAAATTGAGCCGACAACTACTACCTTTGTGTTACGGATACGTTCACTATAGGCATGCTTTAGAGGAGATGTGAAAACAATGACACCAAATGTGGCTGGGTGAGGATGAAGTCCCTGGAAGACATCCTGGTGCAGGCGATTCTGATAGCACCAGTAACCAGAGAAAAATGTTTGCTTCGTAATCTACATGACCAAAGGTAAATGTAAATGTTATCTTCAAATATTTCAATTTAGTAGACATAATACAGTCAAAAACGTGTATGGAATTAAGTTTTAGAGAGTCAGTATTTATGCTTTTGGAATTTTAAAGGTTATTCCAATTTAGATCAAACATATTTAAGATGATGAACTATAAAAGTTTTTATCAAAATTATGAGGGCAAAAATTTGGGTTACATATCAAATAGTGATATACATTAAAAAATAATAAAACAAAATAAAGAAACAAAAAAACCCACCCTGCACACCCTATGTGCTGGTACTTACTTCGCATGGCGAATGTCCGGCAGGGAGCGCTCTAGAGCAATGTTGTTGCTGACGAAAATATTGAAACCGTTTTCCCTGTAAGCTGAGTCATCATGGTCCTCTTCAGTAAGGGGGTAGGGTTTCCCGTGCTCACCTTTCCCTAGTAGGAGAAAACAAAATGGGATTGTCATCCGCATAGAAAGCACTGCGTTTTCTAGAATAGAGATGAAGACTTGAATGTGTGCGCTTCTTTACTCACCTATTGCTGTGCTCCACAGAGGAGCTGGTACTAAGATTTTATTATTTTATTTTAATTACTTTATTTAGGAAAATAAAACATGCTTGTAATAAAAAGCAAACAGAGAAGTAGAAAGTGCAATCTCACCTTCCAGAGAGAACCACTGCCAAGTTTTAAGTGTATGATGTTCACTTTATAAATTGATTTTTTTCCAAAATAATTATATATCCTTTCATTTACTTCCAATAGTTGATATAAAATAATATTGTATTCCAATTTACATCATTCTTTTAAATTATTTCTAACTTTGCCATTATAAACAATGTTGAAATGAACACCTTTGCTTGTATTTTCGGAAGGGAAGCATAAATTCCTACAAATAGAATTTCCAGGATATCTTCAAAGTGAGTATGATAGTGTTTACACATCCTTAGATACATTGGATAGTACTTCCAAATTCATTGATAAAATATATTTTTTTCATATTTTAATGAGCCTTTTCTTAATTACTAATGAAATTAATAATTTCTTATACTTTTATCATTTGTATTTCTTACATTGTGAAATGATTGTTCAAGGATTTAAGAAAACAATTTTAGAGCTTTTTATTTTATAGTAAAAGCTTTTTATAATAAAATACTTTTATAAAAAGATTTATTAAACCTTTTTAATTACATATATTGCAAATATTTTCTAAGTTCACTGTATTAAATTTAATGAAAATTTTTCCCATCCAGATGATTATATTTTTCCTTTCATTTATGTGTGTTACATTTAGAAAAAAATCCTTCCCTACTCCAATGTCATACTTAATATCCATTCATGAATTTAGAGTTTGACTAACATTTTATTATTGTTTTATCTGTCTAAATTTTCAACCATCTGGAATTTATTTTGGTGTGAGAAGTGTGGTATTAATAAATGTCTTTTTTATAGTTTTAGAAATGGTCAGGCAGTTGTAGACAACATTTTCTGAGTAATTTTTCCTTCCCTGCTTTAAAATATCACAGATAAAATTTTTCTACTTTTACATGTACATATTTAAACATTTCTATGACATCCCACTCTTATGTCAATCCTCGTGCAGTGGAGCAATCATAGCTCACTGCAGCCTTAAATTCCTTGGCTCAAGTGAGCCTCCCACCTCAGCCGGCCGAGTGGCTGGGACTACAGGTGTGCTCGACCACCACCATGTCCACTAATATTTTTGTATCTTGTAGAGATGTCTCACTATATTGCCAAGGCTGATCTTGAACTCCTGGTCTAAAGTGATCCTTCTGCTTTGGCCTCCCACAGTGCTGGGGTTATAGGTGTGAGCCACGGTCCCTGGCCTCCCACAGTCTTTTCCTTATTCCTATCCCTGACTTCTTTGATGGGCAATTTTATTTTTATTGTCTGGATTGGTAATACATTCTATTCTCTCACCATTATTGATCTTTCATGCTTTGTGTATAGGTTTATTCTAAAAGACGAAGAGTAATACTTGGTGTTTACTTGTTATTTATTGCAATGCATGTTAGTGTCATTTTCTTACTTTTTTGGTGAAGATTTTTTTTACAACAGTCTAATTTTTCCCTTGTTATTTTTTCTTGCAATATTTGTTTTAAAAATCTCATGTCATGAATGAAAAATTATGGACTCTCTCAATTACTTCTCTTTTTTGTTTCCTTCTGACAGTAGGTATTTTGCTTACTTTTATGCAGGACACTTTTCTCTGGGTCTGGTGATCTTTGCTGCCTTTGTAGTCCATTGTCAGTCAACACCAGGCAGACCGGGAGCTCTGTGCTGTTGGATGGGGCTGGTCTACTGGCAGGGTTGGCTTTAAGGGGACTGAGTGATGAATGGGGAGATGGCCCTTACGTAGCAGCAGGGGGGTTGGAATGTTAACTATTTGACATACAGATTTTCTGTTAGTCAGCTAGTTTTAAGCTCCTTATTTTGATCTCACCCTTTTCTATAACTGGCATTGACATGTCCAGACATCTTTGGATTTATACTAGGTAATCTTATTTCCTCCCACCCCTACATGAGAATTTGGCTGTGTTTCCTTTCCCCTGATTTAACACTAATGATGCTCCATCTCCTCTCCACTTTTCACACATATATTGTTTTCTATTATATGCTCATTGCTTCCTTCTTTTCTCCTTTTTGTGTTCTGGGTCTATAGTCTTTTAATACCTTATTAACATGTTATTGTGATTTCTAGAAGGAAAACAGAAAATGTACGTGTTCAATTAACTATTTTTTTTATTTCTGCATATTATGGGGGTACAAATGGTTAGGTTACATTGCTCTTGCCCCCCACCATAAGAGCTTCAAGCGTGTCCATCCCCCAGATGATGCGCATCGCACTCATTATGTTTGCATATACCCATCCGCTCCTCCCCCCTCCCATCTGCCCAACGCCTGATAAATGTTATTCCTATATGTGCACTTAGGTGTTGATCAGTGAAAACAATTTGCTAGTGAGTACATGTGGTGCTTATTTTTCCATTCTTGGGATACTTCACTTAGTAGAATGGGTTCCAGCTCTATCCAGGATAATACAAGAGGTGCTATATCACCATTGTTTCTTAAAGCTGAATAGTACTCCATGGTATACATATACCACATTTTATTAATCCACTCATGTATTGATGGGCACTTGGGTTGTTTCCACATCTTTGCAATTGCGAATTGTGCCACTATAAACATTTGAGTGCAGATGGGCATCTACCCAAAAGAACTAAAGACATTCAATTAACTATTTTAATGGAAAGCTTAACTATTTCTGTTCCTGAAATTTTTGAGTTAACAGCCCTTGAGATGATAAAATATTGAAATGCCATGCATAAAATAACCCAGTTTTTATATGAACATTATTAATCATTCTCTTTTATGTATATATTCATAGAGAAAACTTTGTAAATAAATTTGCCTAATATTCAAATGATTCATTCTAAATGATAAGATTTGGGTGTCTTTCATTCCTCATTTATGGTTTGTTTGCTTATTATGATCTTTTTTTTTATTTCTACAAAAGCCACAAATAAAATAAGTTGAGATGAATGTCCAAATTCAGCTGAAAGGTTTTAGTTTTAATAAAATAAAATTTAGGTTTTTATATACATTTTGGCCAAATTGATTCTGGAAAGGGCTAGATGATAGAATTAAAGAGAAGGGCATTAGAAAATGATAATGGCTTGCTGATATTAATAAGTTTTATTTTAATTTATCATTACAGTTTGCAGAGTACTTTGATACACACGTTTATTTACTTACTATGATACTTTTGTAAGTTAGGTATGTTGGCTCCTGTTTATAGACCAGGAACTGAGGCTCAAAGACATTACGGTTTGTAGGGCAAGGCTGACATCAGCTTCTGGTTGAAGATTGTGCAGCTGGGTCAGAACTCAGATGCAAAGATTGCTGTGACTGTGTATTGCCCTGTCTTAGCTGCACGGCACTTATGTGTGTAGGGATTTGAAGTTGAAGGACAAATATCTAGAACATGAGTTTTATACAAACTTCCCTACTAAGGAGCTGTGTTTTCAGGTGAGATCTTTCACGTTTCTACCCCCAATTTCTTCGTGTACAGAGACAAGAGATGAGGCTAGATAGTTCTATTCTACCATTGGTAACATTAGTAATGCCCTATAGTAACTCCTAAATATTTAATTTTTTTCTAAATTGCCACACTCTATCAGACATCTAATTCAAATTTAAAAGATGAACTTGAAAACATTATCTGAAACTCTAGTACTTTAAAATAGTAACTTTTTCAAAGCAATTATCAGTGATCTCAAAAGAAAGACTATATAACTTAGTCACAGAGCCAATTTATTAGAAGACATGGGGATTCATTGTGGAGCTGAGCTCTAAGGTCGTTGCGGGCAGACCTGAGTGCAAGGTGAGATTTAATGTACGCTTGTTGCCTGATTATTTAAAATAGGAAATACAGCTAAAGATAAAAAAGCAAGGATACACTAGATTAAAGAGTACTGTGTTCTTCACACAACTAGTCACCAAAAAGTTTGTGCTGTTGTTTTTTGTTATCAAAATATACACAGATAATGCAAATACATTTCTGTCTCCTACTAAGTTAAAGAAAACATTATTAGTAGGAACCAAATACAAACTAAAAGTTTCCTCATAAAAGTTACAGTTCATGGTGTTTCAATTAAAATTGTCTACATTCCCTAGTCTCAGAGGAACTCATTAAAATTACTCTTTCCAGTTAAAGCAAACTGCTCCCAAAGCAGAGATGAAAGAGGAAGTCTCTAGACCTACATGTAGTTGCAATTGTTTTCATTTCCAAGAAAAGCAGATAAAATAATTAAGGATAATCTATCATGAAGGGCCAAATGGAAAAAAAAAATTCTGGCAAAATAAGCTGAATCCTAGGAAAAGCCTAATGTTTTCCAGAATGATTTAGATAAGAAAGGCAAGCTCCTACAAATAATATGTTACCAGACGATGCTCTACTAATACATGAGGAATAACTGAGAAGTCTGGAGAAGAGATTAAGTCTCTCTCCTAATGTACCATATGTACCTGTGAAAGAAGGGATTCTTTCCTCTTCTAGGAGAGTTGCTGAGCCATATGCCATTCCTTGTGCTTTTAGTGTGCAGGGATTGGGGGAATCTGAGTTCATCTCAGTTCTATTTCACTTAGTGACTCATGCTCAGCAACAAATAGGCTGGCTGTGTTTCAGGGGGTCTTTTGAGAGTGAATGTTTGCCAGGATTGTGCCAGCCCATGGGAGCTCTGGGTTCTCTGATCATTCTAAATGACAGTCTGTTTTGAGCATGTCAAAAGAATAGGTTTTGGAGATGTCAATCATTTCCTTAATTCCCACATATGTTCTCTCCAAAACTATTGTTGTCATTAAGAAAAAAAAAAGTAATATGAGGAAGATACTTTTTTTATAATGCTGCTTAGAAA